ATGGTTGCAGAAGCCCTCAATTTAATCGAAGAAGGGCGAGAGGGAGCTTGGGTGCGGTCTGTCGAATACAAACAAAAGATGCGCGCGGCCTTTGACAAGAAAGTTAGAAACCAACGTTTACAAGTAGGAGACCTCGTCCTCAAGCGAGCAGATACCCTTAAACATGTGGGAAAGCTTGAAGCCAATTTGGAAGGGCCTTACACGGTCACAAAGGTTCTTGAGAGTGGAGCATACGAACTCAAAGACGGAGAAGGTCGACAGCTGCCTCGATCTTGGCACGTGATCCATCTAAAACGCTTTTATGCCTAAGGCAGTGTCTTGAATCCCTTTTTGTACTGAAAAACGTTCGAATCAAATTCAGTAATGCAGTGAATTTCAAGTTTGTGTTTCAATTGTGCCTTTTACATGTCCATGTCAATCTTATCATAATTACTTGACAAGCTGAATTTTTAAAAAAATGGTTGTAAAGCCGACTAACTCCGAATAGCTATGAAATCGACTTAAACAACTACGAAGTTGTAACTCGAGTGGAACCTCGGCAAGGCTACAAAGCCGACGAGTACGAAGTTGATTTACACAACTACGAAGTTGTAACTCGAGTGGAATCTCGACAAGGCTACGAAGCCTACGACTACGAAGTCGATTTAAACAACCACGAAGTTGTAACTCGAGTGGAGTCTTGACAAGGCTATGAAGCCTACTACTACGAATTCGATTTAAACAACTATGAAGTTGTAACTCGAGTGGAATCTCGACAAGGCTATGAAGCCTACGACTACGAAGTCGATTTAAGCAACTACGAAGTTATAACTCGAGCAGAACCTTGACAAGGTTACGAAGCCTACGACTACGAAGTCGATTTAAACAATGAAAATACACTCAAGATCTCGAAAAAAAAGAAAGCCCACTTCAATTGCTAAACATCTATGGCAATTTAAGAACAAAATAAAAACGACAAAATACGGCGAAAACAGAAAAAATTATTCATGATAAGTTCATTACAAGAAGAGAATCATCTCGACCTTTACAATCTGAAAATAGGTCGAGAACGACAGTAAAAAAAAAAGCAAAAGCCAAGCTTCGAAAAATAAAAGGCGACAGCCTCAAGACAACTCTAGGCATCGGCATCGCTCTCCTGGACCCCTTTTTCAAGATTAGCCCCACTTGGATGAGGTAATTCAGTCGGGTCGATCAATGGAGTGGGAGGGGCCTCCAGTTGAGAAGAGAGCTTGGCAACGTGAATGGCCTTGGCCTCGAGGCCGGACCACCACGGGTAATCATCCGGAAAGGATATGTCACCCTTACAACCATCAGGGTCGGGGAGCGCCTGCCTCATTGCCTCGCGGTCGAGTTTTCTGGTAAACTCAGACCCCGCCACCACCTCCTCCCACGCATTTAAAGTATGCTCGAAGTACTGAACGGCGGCGGGGCAAAGCCTGTCGAGAAAACTCAGGCGAATTGCAGAAAGCCTTGACGACTTCTTTGCAGTAGGCCTCGACAAAGGCGGAGCCCACGGCGGACTTTAGAAACGACTTCCAGCCCTGCACGGTGCTGATTTCCCTCTCGAACACAACCTCATCCTGAGCCTTTTCAAGGTCGGCCTTGAGCTTCTCGTTCTGGTGGCGAGCCACAGCCTTGTCAGCCTTAAGCTTGTCGACAAAAGCCTTCGAGGCCTCCAGATCCTCCTTCAGCTTCTTGATTTGCTTGCGCTAGGCTTCACATTTATCCTCAAGGACCTTGATAGAGGAGGGAAGGAGCCTTAGTTCCTGCCTCGAGGCCGAGGAGTATAGCCGCTAAGAACTAAAAAAAAGGGGGGGGGATTGAGTAAATAATAAAAAATTATATGTACATAAACGCTAAATTCAAGCAAGAGGTACGTACCTTTGTAAGGCACTGGGTAGCGCAGCAAGAGCGCTCGTAGTCATTCCCCTCGACGCGGGCCTTGTCGGCCTCTGGGAGCAGAGAGTTGAGGTATCTGGCCACCTTATGCAGGTTCGGATGATTCCAGAGCCGAGACGGCATCTTGACCGTCACGTCCTTGTAAGTGACGGTAGAGGCAGTATTCTTTTCAACTACCTTCTCCTTGCCCTTATCGACCTTACGGCGCTTAAGGTCGTCGGGAAGCAGGGTAGGGTCCGATCGTCTTGGGGCCTCTTGCGGATACCAGGACCCGAGGACTTAGGTCGTTTTGCTGTAGTAGCCGACTTCAATCCGGACCCACCGGGTGGGGGAGGAGCAGATCCGTCTGCCAACTGCCCGGTCGGCTGTTTCTTCTTCACCTCGAAGCGCTTGAGTGCTTTGACTGAAACAAAAACAAATAATCAAACGAGGTTGAAAGAAAATAAAAGCAAAACATGACATCGTAAGAAATGTTGAACAGCTTACGAGGATCATCGAGTCGAGAAAGATCATCATAAAGAACAATCCTAGCGTGATTGACCAAATCACGATCCCTTATTATTCGACGAGCACTATAGGTGTGTTTATTAAGTTCTTCCAAGAGTTTTTCGAAATTCTCGGATCGAATTCTTTTCTTTTGCTTAACTTTCGTGCTTATCCAATTATTCGCATAAGGATAAGCACCAATGGGAGGACGGATAAACACGAATTTCTATTTCCACTCCGGGATATTCGAGGAAAGGTCGTCGAGAATGGTAACGCCGGAACAGAGAATCAAGCAATGGGCCCCCTTTTGGAGTCGGTAGCTATAGCAATAATGGAAAAATTTGGCTGAGAAAAAACAGAGAACTGTACGAGAAACAACGATAAAGGCTATCATGATACACAGAGCGTTTGGGGAAAACTGGTTTATTGGGGTAATGTACAAATCAGTTATCTCCAAAAGCTCGACTTGGATAAGGAAGCGGAGGTCAAAAATGACTTGGTCGACAAAGAAAGTATGACAACCCTGCGGGGGACAGGCGAAGTCGCTGTCGGGTCTTAGAGCAACCAACTCCCAACAGGAGGGAAGCCCGCTAAATTTCCTGAAGCTCTCGACTTGAGCCACACAGGCATAAAAAAAAGGGTTTAAAGTGGCCAATTTGGCCAGAGGGCAGGCTACTGATACAACCTCTCGAGGATCAACGAGAGGAGCAATTATTGGTATAGGTACAAGACTTGTGCTATATACAAGAATATCTAGCAACCTAATGGGAATACCTCGAGGAATCAAGTCGAGGCGAGGAGAATCTCCTCGAGGACTCTTTAATACCTCTACTAAACCACCATCTAACAGTGCTTGATCGTATTCAGCCCAGTTGACCTTTAGAGTGGAAGCATGCGATGAGGAAGAATGAGGAGAGACATTAACTGTCCTATAACTGATTATCTCAACTGAGTCGGACTGGTCGAGGCCTCTATCAATCAGTTTGTCGAGTGTATCAGGAGAGGAGTCGGAAGGAGAAGCTAGAAAAAAAATCGGGATCGAAGATTAGTCGCCACAAAATAAAATCAAATAAAGTAAAATCAACTCACCAAGGTCGACAAAAATACAAAAGAACGGGAAAGCAATATGGTATGATTCGTTGAAGACATGTTAGCAAGCCGACATGAGGCCAACTTGAGGAAAGGACAAAAAGTAAGAAAGCGGGTGTCGATAGGAATCGACATAATAAAAAGCGATAAGCGGCTACACGCTACAACCCGACTATACGCTAACAGCTAATCAGAACGAGGCGTGTGCACACAAGATTCAACACAAAAAAAGTTTGAAGAACACGAAGAACATACAAGGGTGCAGAAAAAACCAAAAACCCAGAAAAAAAAAAAAGAAACACAAAAACAACAGATCGATAGAAACTGGGAAAGGAGCCAATAAATACTTACCCATGTTACTCATGACGACCTGAAAGTTGATTAAGACGCCGGTGCTGCGGAAGAAGTAACCGAAAAAGCTCGAATTGCTAGATCGCCGGAGTTGCAGAGAAAATTTAGAAGAGGTGAAAAGTGTTTAAAGAAGAAGTTCAATTATATTTATAGGAGATGAGGATAGATGTTAGCCATTAGATCAACAAAGAAACCAACGATCCTGATGAAGCACAGAATACGAAGAGTCAGCGATTGAAGGGACGTGCGTCACTAATAGGAGTTTTTGAAATTCAAAATTCAAAAGGAACGTCAGTGTCAGACTTATCTTGAAGGATAGACATTAATAAAAAATATTTGACCCAGATAGCGAGGCATGACAAGAGCTAAGATGAATCAGATATTTCAAGTCGAGAAGATGCGACAATCGAACCCCTTATTTCGTGCTCACACATCGATTTCTATATGATTACCAGAATAGATCGAATTTTTCAAAATGGCTATATAGCCGGGTCACATTATCAACTAAAAATTTGACAAATACAATTGCAAAATGTTAATTATTAAAGTCGAATCTCAACATTAAGTGATGACGCCTACGGCCATGAGGTCGACTCGAATAACTACAAAGCCATGAGCCTTGGACACAGGTCAAAGGAGAACAATTATGAAACTGTTTAGACAATTGCTCGACTTCGACTAGCTCACAAGAAGGGTTGGGAGAAGACGACTCGAAAAACTTGGTTCTACAGCTATGAGACTGTCGAAACTATTGTTCAACTTCGAACAACTCGCAAGAAGGGTTGGGAGAAGACGACTCGAAAAACTTGGTTCTACAACTATGAGGCTGTCGAAACTATTACTCGACTTCGATCAGCTCGCAAGAAGGGTTGGGAGAAGACGACTCGAAAAACTTGGTTCTACAGCTATAAGGCTGTCGAAACTATCGCTCGACTTCGACCAGCTCGCAAGAAGGGTTGGGAGAAGACGAGTCAAAAAACATGGTTCTACAGCTATGAGGCTGTCGAAACTATTGCTCGACTTCGACCTGCTCGCAAGAAGGGTTGGGAGAAGACGACTCGAAAAACTTGGTTCAACAGCTATGAAGCTGTCGAAACTAATGCTCGACTTTGACCAGCTCGCAAGAAGGGTTGGGAGAAGACATAGTAAGACGAGATAAAGAACCAAACAATTAGAAGAAAAATCACAAGCCTAACCACGAAGAGTCGACAAAATATAGAAGCAATGAAAAAAAAAAGAACAGAAACAACAACCATCATATTAGAAGGAAATTTGTTACATCCGAAACCATCTCAACCCTTACATTGGAAAATAGGTTGAGATGGCAAGAAGTAGAAAAGTATAAAAAAACGAATACAAATATCATTCCGGCTAAAAGTAAAAACCTAAGCCTTCTGAGAAACGGCCGTCAACTTTTCAGCGGCATCTCCACCCTCATCGCCAACCGGCTCGGTCCCAACACCTTCCCCCTCCCCAACCGGCTCCGTTCCTGGCTGCTCGACCTCAATTGTCTCGTTAATTGGCTCTTATTCATAGTTGGCTCCGCTTGGCTCAACCAGCTCAACTGGGCCGACTAGTGGGAGTGGGGGGACTTCAAGCTGAGAAGAGAGCTCAGCTGCATGAATAGCCTTGGCCTCGAGGCCGGTCCACCATGCATGACCCGGAGGGGGAGCTGCTTCACCCTTGTAACCGATAAGGTCAGGGAGAGTGAGTTTCATGGCCGCCCGGTCGATTGTCCCCGAAAAGTCGGGCCTGGCCACGGCTTGCTCCCACGTATCGCAAGTGAAGTTGAAATACTGGACCGCGGGAACTAGCTCGTCGAGGAAGTCGGGAGAATCGCAGAACGCCTGGACCACAACCTTTCGATAATGCTCGAGGAAGACTGCCCCAGTTGGGGACTTCAAGAAGGTCCTACGACCTTCTTGAAGCCCATTCTCCTTCTCGACCATGGCCTCATCGGTGGCCTTAAGCAAGTCGACTCTCAGCTTCTCGGCCTTTCGGACTGCCGTGTCCTTATCAGAGCAGAGTTT